GAATTGTTCAGAATTGTTCCAGAAGACAGGAAGAAAAACTGTCAGCCCTCCAAGCTAGACCAGACTAGGAAATGCTATATTACTTTTATTATAAGATTATAGTAATAGAAAGTATAGAGTAACAGAATTTTGCAGGTCCACCCCACCTTTGTCTTTGTGAAAACTAGGCAGCGTCTTGTCTGAGATGCTTACTTGGGTTACAAATCTGACTCAGACTCCGTTTTCTTTTATCTGACCTTGTCTTGGTTGCAGCTCTTCCTCCTGATCCTCACAGTTATTCCTTCTGCCCATTACAGAAACTGTGTTTAAATTACAAGGAAATAGATTTTGACTGGACATCTGGAAAAAAACCCTCTTAATAGTAAGAAATGTTCAGCAATGGAGTAGACTGCCTTGGAAGGGGGTAGACTATCCTTCACTGGAGGTGTCTGGATGGCCAACTGTCAGGGATGCAACAGTAGATAGAAAGTTGGATTAGATGATCCCCAAGGTACTTCCCAATCTTTACATTATATGATTCTACAAAAAAGAATTATCTTACGAAGTGCCACAGAAATGTGAAAAGAAAATGCTTGGTGGAATGATGAAGTGAAAGGGGCTCTGGATGAGAAAAGAATGCATTAAGAGAATGATTGTGGTACAAAATGATGACAAAGAAAAGTTATTGAATAATGGATATACAGCAAAAAAGACAGTAAGTATATTGTAAAAGAGTAAGGTTAAGATTAAAAGAAGAAGAGAATCTGCAGAGTGATTTTGATAGAAATAAAAAACAACCTTGGACATGAGTGAAAAAGGCTAAACGTGCAGCTTCCAACAGGGTGAATGGGATTAAAAATAAAAGTGATGAAGTAATTTGACATGAAATTCAAGTGACGGAATGCTAATGATATGCTAATGAATGATGATTTATGAAACAATAGAAGTGAAACAAATATTATAAATGGCTGGTGTGGGTCTTCCGGGCTGTGTGGCCGTGGTCTTGAAGTCTTGTTTCCTA